GTTAGGAGAATCGGAAGGGTCAACCGGTCAAGTTTCATAAAAACACATGTTCATCGTTTTATTAGTCCAACTAATGTTGGATAGATATTTATTATTTTAAATATTGTATAGTGCTTTAAATAATAAATTTATATATACATATCATTAATGAAATTTTCATATAAATAAGGTTATGCGAATGTGTAGACTATTACGTATACAATTAGTATTATCCAATATATTTAAATATACAAAATATATATTTTTTTTAATGAACATGTCTATCCGACTTGATCGAACCGATTCATGACCAGCTTGCCAGTAATTTATTTTGAAGGACAAAAATAACCAATTAAGTGACTGGTTAATTCATAGTCCATCTGGCCACTTCAACATATATTATCAAAACTTTGAATTCACTAGATAAAAATGAGAATACAATGTCTTGGCCATTAAAGTCCCAAATAAATATTAGAATTACAAATTCAACCTACAACTGTTGTTATTTGTCATTTGTGATACAGAACTAATTTTTCTTTATAAAATAACTAGTTCAAACTTAAAATATTGGGAGTTGGGGATTTTGTATACTTTTCTTGGAAATTTTGGTATAGAAAATATACTCAACTTTTACTCTCAAAAGTCTCAACTAGTTACCATTTTCATCTTACTCCCCCCAAAAAACACACACATACATGCGTGTCTGTGTGTGTGCTGAGCTATTTTGATGTATGTGTGTGAGTTTGGTGGTAGGCGTGCAGCATATGAGGGGAGAATGTGATCATAATTGGGTGTGCCAACACACATTAATTATTCATATCGTGCTTTTCTATTTTTTCCACAATCTTTTCTACAAACAACTGAGAAAAATATTTGATTCTGTAAATCACAACCACGAATCATTGTCTATCCCAAACTGTTCCATTGCATTCTTGCCACACACTCTCACTTTTTTCTTTATTCNNNNAAAAAAAAAAAAGAATAAATCTACTAGTATCATATACATACTCACTAGAGATATACACTTTGTGTAAATGATTTAACGGATGTCTCCTTTCAGATATTCAATTAAAGTAGCTTAGAAGTTAAGGGGATTGTTTTATTTATTTATTTTTATTTCATTTACAAGTAATTATATATTTGCTCTGAAAATTTCATAATTTCAACTCCTCCACATAAAAGGTAAATAATGAATAAAGAATCGTGCATATTTTAATTATTTTAGCTAGGTACCGCACCTAATTTCAAGTACAGGCTTATAACCAATATGCATTATTTTATTTTTCCCATTTTTGGAAAAAAATTTGATGAGTTTGGGCATGACATTATTCTTTAAAGCAGTCCTGCTGGCTTATGTAATGACCAAGTTATCCCTTTCAGCCAGTTATTTTCACACTTTTCAGAATTCTCACCCTGTTTTACTTTATTTGCTTGATGAGCAAACCATGCCAATAGTCTAATCCTAAGTGTTAAATATAGAACTAATTGGGATATTTAAATTTGACTATTTTTCTAGTTTGAATTCAAATGATGAATTTTATCTACTGCATTTGTTGGACAAGCCTCACCAATAAAAAATCATATGTTTTCAACTCGTATATATATTTTTAAATTAAAATGTTATATTTAAAAATATAACATAAATAAAAGAATAACATTTTACAACATAAAAATATTCATTATTATTATAGGCGTATGATACGGGTTGACCATCCCATACGAGAATTGGTAAATCTAGTGATAAAATTTAATGTATTTTTTTCCAAACAAAGCCAAAAAAATAAATAAATAAATAAATAAAAAGATTGATTATGGGTGTTTGAACTTTGTGCCCCTTGGAGAGAAACCACTAATAAAAGGAAAATTAATTGAAGCTGCCTCTCCTTAGGAAGATTAATAATAATAGATGTCATGCATTGGAACATCTATTTTTATAATTATGTTTTTTATGCTTTTTAATTGAGAAGGCTACCACGCAAATTGGATGCATCCTATTATTTTATATCCAATGATGGACGTGGTCAAATGAACGTCAACAAGGCACTAATTATACATTTCAATGTTGGTAAAACTCAATTTGGCATTTTGGAGCTGATGATATAATTGTGAATTGTATTGAAACTCATGAATGTCATTTTCATGTCGAGCATGAAGCCTGCGCTAAGCTTGGTCTCGCTTTAGGCTTTATGATTGTGCACATAAATTAATCGAGTAAACATAAATAGCTTTTATATGAAGTCAACTCAAAACCTGCCCAAATCGGATAGGATAGAAACAACAAGATAAATTCAAATCATAATAATATAAGAATGTATAGTTGTAATTTTAGTTATTGCGATGTATATACATTAAGGATGATATCTATAGAGTTTTTCGAATATATGAGTTAGTTTTTGGTGATTTGTAATTTTATGTGACCAACTTTAGTGTTTGGTAATGTTTTGTGTTCAATTATGGTGCTTTCAAATATTCCACGTGGTTTTGGACTTCTATCTATGTCTATTAAAAATTTTAAAATTACACACCCTTGAATAACTTGAAATATATATTTTTAAATAATTTTTAATTTGTTATAAATGTTATATATGATATATCAAATTAATTATATGTTGACGAGTTTTGATTTGATATATATATATATATATATATATAGCTATAAATAAATAAATATTTACCTTTTGAATAAAATCCAATTATATATATATATATATAGCAATTGACAAATAATAAATTTATTTATTACTTATATAAATTTATATATATAATTGCTGGAAACCTTCAATAAATTTTATTCAGCCAACAATTAATAATAATATGAGTTCATTTAATAAAGATAGGTGTTCATTTAATAAAAATACGTTCAACAATTAATAAAAATATGTAACTTTCAGTTACAAAATTTATTTTGACAAGTCCTATTTTGGATGGTGCCCATTTCTGTAAAGTATTTTTTATGACGTGAAATACAAAATATTTTTGTTTTTATTTTGATACTATATATTTTTTGATATTATGTAAATACATATTTCACAACTAATTAAGAATGACTACAAATATCTCTATTTTCTATTGCAGTCATACAATAATAAAAAAATATTTTTTCGAATATTACAAAGATACAAATCCCAGAGTAACGAGTCGAAAGGGTTTAACGATAATTATTTGTTGTGATGGAGATTCTGACGATAAGAAAACAACGAATATTGTATATAAATAAGTGTTAAATATCATTTATTAAGTTATGATTTTTATTTTAATCTATAATTTTAATTACTTTCTCTTCTGTTATATCATTTTTCGTGCAAATGCACATGGTAAAACTAGTTTATCTTTTAAACCCACTACATGAGTTAGAAAAGTATTACAAAGTTATACATGCGATGATTAATCATTCAAATTCAAATAGTGATGTAAGTTTTTGAGAACTATTTAAAATTTAGAATTAAAAATGTAATCTTTTATTAGTACCATATAATGCAATATATGGGCATTGAGTTATACTAGTTTATAATATATCGACGATATTCATGTTCCAACTTTTTAATGATGTCTTGTATCACATTATAAAATACCAATAGTGTATTTAGGAGGTGTCTTATGAAAATGATGTTTTAACTTTTATGGCAGTCGGCAAGAGTTGAAAATTTGTCTTCTTATATTTATTTTTTTCTTTAAAAATCATATAGCATTAAATGTTACCTTAATTTTGGGTTTTACTTCATTTTATTATTTAAAAAATTCGACTAAGATTTATTAAGTGTGTATGTTTTTATTTTTATTTTTATCAAGCTATTTTATTAAATCTTTTGTGGTTTATTTAGATTTTAATTTATAAATATTTTAATATATATATATAATTTAAATTTAAATAAAATCAAATAAAATGTGTTACTTAGATATCTAAATAATTTATAAATTTAAATGTTTAAACTAATTGATAAATAATTTATAAATCTCTATTTTATTTAAATATGGAATTTTATTTAAAATAATTTTAAATATAACAAAATTTATTTAGAAAATCGTATCGATCCTACCAGTTCAACCAACTGATGTTGACGAATTCGAGAGCAAATATATTATTCAAGCGAACTACACTGGTTATAAACCGGTTCTCGGTTCATCCGGTCGGACTGTGTCCAACCCGGTTTAATTTAAAAACAATGGATAAATCATGATTAATGTTATTTATATATTTAATTTATAATACAATCGTAATATTGTTTTTCCGTGCATCGCACGGGTCACGCACTAGTTTTTCCATTATTACCCTCATCTAACTAATAAATACACTACGTCTTTTCATATTTACTCTTCATCTTTTCTCAAAACATTCATCTCTATCCTCATTAATGCGGATTATTATTGACAAAAGAAATATTCTTAATTACTGTACAACTTCTTAAAACGATATTTATTAAAAATAGGAGGGAGTAGGTAATAGCACACTTTTTGAGCCCAAAAATAACACGAGTGAAAAAAGAAAAGTGACATCGAAACTTAAAAAAACGAAAACAAAAAATAAATAAATACAAAATCTCAACAATTCATTTAGTCCACCTAATCTGTAATATGTGTCACAAATACAATTTTCATGCATAAATTGGATCATTATAATTAACTTCCATTAACCATTCTCAGACTCTTGCCAATAAGATGATCCTATATTTTGCGTGTGTGTGACATAACATGAAATGACTAGAACAAGAATGCTGATAATCATGAATTTGGATTCATGTTGTTGTCTTCAAAAAATCTTACAACACACTAAAGTAACCATCATCTGGCACTCATTATGCTTGCAAATATTTTATCTTTTCTATTTTTTTTTTCTCCTAATTTTTTAAGAAATTGTTTGTTGCCTCACAAGCATGCTTATGACCTCCCACCCCCCACATCACCTATATATAAGCCCACAAACATCCATCACTAGTCATTCATCAACACCAAATTCCCATTTTCCACATCCAAAAATTTATCCTTCAAATTCCAAACTTGCTAATCCCTATTTATCTATCTATCTATCTACACATGGCAGTCTCCGGATTCGAAGGGTTCGAGAAGAGGCTCGAAATCCACTTCTCGGGGGACGACCCCGCCTCCTTGGGCCTCCGCCAGCTCGACTTCCCCTCCCTCGAGAAAGTATTGCACGCGGTGCAATGCACCGTAGTCTCCGCGGTCGGCAACCCCCACTTCGACTCGTACGTCCTCTCGGAGTCGAGTCTCTTCGTGTACCCCACCAAAATCATCATAAAGACGTGTGGGACCACCCAGCTCCTCAAGTCCGTCTGCCCTTTTATCGACCACGGCCTCTCATTAGGCCTCACCCTACTCGGGTGTAGGTACACCCGCGGCAGCTTCATTTTCCCCCTCGCCCAACCCTACCCCCACACTAGCTTCAAGAATGAAGTCCTCTACTTGGAAGCAAACTTGCCTAAAAACCTCACCCACAAGAAGGCCACCACAATGAACTCTAAATCCAACCACAAGTGGCACGTTTTCACCGCTTTCCATGGCGACCAGCCAGTACCGGTGGACCTCAGCGTAGACGATTCCTACACCGTCGAGATCTGCATGACCGAACTGGACCCCACCATCGCCCGGAACTTTTTCCGGTTCGACGGGGGGAAACTAAACGGGGACTCGGCCGGGAGAGAGATGACGAGGACTTCCGGGATCGACAAAATTGATGGAAACGCCCTCGTTTGCGATTACGCGTTCGACCCTTGCGGATACTCGATGAACGGGATGAATCTCGACCGATACTCCACGATACACGTGACGCCCGAGGACGGGTTCAGCTACGCGAGCTTCGAGTGCGTGGGGTCCTCTAGGGACGGGAATGTTCTTGAGGTTTTGAAGAGGGTGGTCGGGATATTCGGGCCCGGGAAGATGTCGGTGTCGACCACGGCAGGGCCCGGGGTTAGGAATAGGGTGTGGAGGGGTATGGCAAGGGCGGTGGAGCCGCTCGGGATGAGGCTCGCCAGCAGCGGGGCCCGCGAGTTCCCGAACGCTGGGAGCGTCGTTTTTCAAACGTTTGTGGCTGATCGGAAATGACGTGGCGGCGGCGGAAGACGGTGAAGGAATGGTTGGTGGTGGAGGTGTCAATTAATTAGTGGGCGAGCGCGAGAGTTAATTTTCTTGGGTTTTTTTAGGTG